AGCCATGAAAAATATTCATAGGAAAAAGACACTACTTCTATTAGGTAGACTAGGGGTGTCATCAACGTCTTTTATTTCTTTGTCCCTTTTTTACTTTTTTCAATGGAAATGTGTCATTATCAGTTACAACAATGAAATTCCCAAGACTGATCCCTCTGCAAAGTAGCTTGGGACTTCAAAAAATGGCAAAGGCCCTTTTTCATCCACAAGGAGCTCCAGTTTTAGGGAGTGAAGACATCCCAAGAGAAGGGAGCCACGGGCTTGCCAGTTGGCTAATGTCCTAGCAAGACTGTAACCTGGCTTCTGTAATGAAACCAGAGAAATCCAGCTGCAGCTGCAGCTGCATCTTTTGACCCACAGTTACCTGTGCAGCACTCTCAACTCTTAAATCAGGCAACCGTCATTCAACAGCATCAGTGATCCAAAAAAGCAAAACTTGGTGGTTGCATTAATACCCTTTCCTCTTTGGGTTGTCTTCTCAAGGGCCATGAATATGCTCAAGGTCCATGAACATCAAGAATCAGAGTGGCCTTCTGGAGATGTGTCCTAACCAAATGATACCATGTTATCATCCCGCTAACTTGGGACTTTCAGCAGGGCAACTTCCCAGGATAACAGTTTGAACATGGCAAATAAAAGCATGTTGAGATGACTAGGGATACTGTAAGGTCACATCAACACAGCACAGCTTTCCCTACCTTGCAGTTTTGCAGCTTAGCTTTAATCTCCATAGCATTGGTCTTAAGGTCTTGCCCTAAACTTGTGTTCTTCTTAACAAGTAGTAACTGTATCTTTTTTTTTTTTAATTTGGAAACTGTGTTATAGTTTTATTTTATTTTTATTTTAATTAGAAAGAAGATTATTTTTCATGTCAATCCCAGGCCCCTCTCCCTCCCTTCCTTCCCTGCCCCCTCCCCCCAACTAACACCCTACCTATCCCATACCCTTTCTGCTCCCCAGGGAGGGTGAAGACTTCCGTAGGGGGTCTTCAGAATCTGTTGTATCCTTTGGGATAGGGTCTAGGCCCAACCCCTTGTGTCTAGGCTCAGGGAGTATCTCTCTATGTGGAATGGGCTCCCAAAGTCCATTCATATGCTAAGGATAAGTACTGATTCACTACAAGAGGCCCCATAGATTTCTGAGGTCTCCTCACTGACACCATATTTAGGGGTCTGGATCAGTCCCTTGCTGGTTTCCCAGCTATCAGTCTGGGAACCAAGAGTTCTCCCTTGTTCAGGTCAGCTGTTTCTGTGGGTTTCACCAGCCTGGAATGGACCCCTTTGCTCATCAGTCCTCCTTCTCTGAAACTGGATTTCAGTTCAGTTCAAGGTTTAGCTGTGGGTGTCTGCTTCTACTTCCACCAGCTGCTGGATGAAGGCGATAGGATGGCATATAAGTTAGTTGTCAATCTCATTATCGGGGAGGGCATTTAAGGTAGCCTCTCCTCTATTGCTTAGATTGTTAGTTGGTGTCATCTTTGTAGCTCTCCAGACATTTCCCTAGTGCCTGATTTCTCTTTAAACCTATAATGTCTCCCTCTATTATAATATCTCTTATCTTGCTCTCCTCTCTTCTTCCCCCAATTCAACCTCTCTGCCCCATCATGTCCTCTGCATCCCTCTTCTTCTCCCCTTCTCATTCTCCTAGCTCCCTCTCCCCTCCCCCCATGCTCCCAATTTGCTCAGGAGATCTTGTCCCTTTCTCCTTCTCCAGGGTTAGTAACCATATTTTTCATCTCCATAATAACATCTGCTACTATTTAGGGTGTGCAGAAAAGTTGAATGAAAAGAAGATAAAGAGATCCAACCTAGCCTTCAAAGGCCAGTATTGTGTATGACTTGTCTGTTTCAATGAATATATTAGTGTTTATAGACAACCCATATCCAACAGTATAAGTCCTTGAGCCATGTACTACTTACAGCCTGTTGGTTTAATAAATTACTTGAGCAAACACACATTCTATTGGAGGCAGTTCTAATGGGGGGGTGTGAAGGATTTCAGCGCTATCAGATATCATAGATGTATAAAATCAAAACATCCAGAGGAATATAGTGGAAGGGAAGACTAACCTCGGTTTCTGCTTGCTTTTATTTCTACAACTCTCTCTGCAGTTTTAAGTCAGCTCGCTGTTTTGCAGGGCTCTGTTCCTGAGTGGGCACAGCTTCATCTTTCATCTGGGCGTTTATTCATCTGACTGAAAGAGCTTTAAGTCCTCTTGAAAAATTAATTTGGCTTTAACGCTTAGCTATCTAAGACTCCCTGGGTGAAGATGAAATCATGCTGGGGGGAGTTTTGATTTAACAAATGGCCATTGAACAGGAGTCTTTGATCCTCAAATCGACTCTTTGAGGGACTGAGCTTCAAGCAGATCAAAGTTGACATGGTTGGTGGTTGGCACCAAAAGGATTCTGGCACTTCCCAGCTGCCTTGGGCTGCCACAGCCTGTTAGGTAGGGATTATAGATTTTCCTAAATGCTTACTCACTTCAAGAATTGGATGAGGACAGAAGTAACGAGATGGACCTGGAGTGGCATGTCCTCACTGCTTCTTTGCTCTCTAATGTTTTTGGGGTTTTGGTTTCAGTTTTGTTGTTGTTGTTTTCCACACAATAGATTCTGATTATGGTTCCTTCTCCCCCTACTCCTCTCAGTCCCTCCCCACCTCTTCTCCCATCCGAATTCACACCTTTCTGTCTCTAATTAGAAAATAAAATAAAACAGGTATCTAAGGAATAAAAATAAAATAAATCAAGAACACACAAATTGGAATATGACGAAGCAACCAAACAACAAAGAGAGGCAAAGAAAAAGCCCAAGAAACATGTATAGACACAGAGACACACACTTTCACACACACAGGAAACCCACTAAAAACCTCAAACCAGAAACAGAGTAGGAGAAAATGCCCCAACAGCATTATGAGACAAAAAACCTCCTACGATGCCATTGAGTTCATTTTGTGTTGACCACCTAATAGTGGGCATGGGACCTAACCCTTACAAGTGGTTTGTTTCTCTAAGTGAGATTTTTCTTGAACAAAATTTATATCTCTCATTTACAAGTGGCAATCAATTGGATATGGTTTCTGTGTTAGGGATGGAAGCGTGTGTCCGCTTCTCCTTTCAGCTCTAGGACCACATGTGGTGCAGACCTGTGCAGGCCCTGTGCATGCTATCTCAGTCTCTGTGAGTTCATATGTATGTCAGTCCTGTTGTATTTATAAGGCCTTGATACCTGGTGTCCTCCATGCCCTCTGGCTCTTACACTCTTCCTGCCTCTTCTACCAAAGAGTTCCCTAAGCACTGAGAAGAAGGGTTTGATGGTAACATCCTTTTAGGGCTAGTGTTTAGTTATCTCTCACTTTCCATATATTATCTGGCTGTGGTCTTTGTATTCTCTTCCACCTGCTGCAGAAGGAACTGTCTCTGATAATGGCTGAACATGAGAGTCAGATCTATCCATACAGCAGAAAGTTATTACAAGTCATTTTATTGTTCCGTTCCTTTAGCAGAACAATAGTATCTGGTTTTCCCCTAGGTCCCTGGCCTATCTAGTCTCCTGTTCTTGACCACCCAAGCAGCACTGGGTATGGGTTCCATCTCTTAGAGCTGGCCTTATCTCAAATCAGATTTTGGTTGGTTACTCACAAAGCTTTGTGCCACTATTGCATCAGCATGTCTTAAAGCAGGTCACCATTGTAGGTCGAAGGGGTTTTTTTTAGCTGGTTTGGTGTTTACCTTTTTCCTTTGGTAGCATGCAGAGCACCTTCCAGTATCACGAATACTATCCAATGGAGGTGAAGGCTCTAGGTGGGTACCAGCTTGGCTTCTCCATGTCCAATGAGTTGTCTAGGTGTTGTCTTTACCAATCGGGCCTTACTGTCAGTTTGTGGAAAGCCACCAATAGCTTTAGCAATGTTTGTTCCCTAAGGTAAAAATTTGCAATCTTAGCTCTTCAGTCTCTATTGCCTGCTAAGTTTCTACAGCTTTTAAAAATTAAACAGAAACAGCAATTTTCACTCGATTTTATTAAGAAAAAAAGTAAGGGCTAGAGAGAGACCTGGTGGATAAGAGCTCATAGAAAACCCAATTTCAGTTCTCAGCAGCTGCACTGGGAGGCTTACAGCTCTTACCACAGCTCAAGTGGCACCCTCTGGGGTGCCTCCCTCTTTGTTCCATTGTCACCTAAGCAGCTATATGCTTCTCTTGGGAGATGACAAGATATCCTAAGATGAGTCCCTGCCAACAGAGTGGAACAGCTCATGTCATGATACCATGTTCTGGCCTCATAGAACACCTCTACTCACATGCATGTGCCCACATGTCTTAATTGGGGTTTCTATTGCTGTGAAGAGACACCATGACCCCCAGCAACTCTTGTAAAGGAAAACATTTAATTGTGTGGCTCCCTTTCAGTTAGGAGGTTCAGTCTATTATCATCATGGTGGGACATGGTGGTAGGCAGGCAGACATGGTGCTGGAGAGGTAGCTGAGAGGTCTGTATCTTGCAGGCAACAGGAAGTGAACTGTTTCCCTGGGTGTGGCTTGAGCATATATGAGACCTCAAAGTCGACCTCCACAGTGACACACTTCCTCCAACAAGACCACACCTACTCCAGTAAGGCCACACATCCCGTTAGTGCCACTCCCTTTGGGGGCCATTTTCTTTCAAACCACCACACCACATATAGATACAACTATACATAATTAAAAATTCAGCAAGTCTTTTAAATGGAAAAATAGTCACACACATAGAACCCAAGATGGACTGGGATGGAAAGGATGGAGAGAAAACAGACAAGTTGCTGTGAATGGCTGAAAAGTACTTTCCAGAAACATGGGCTGTCTCTAAAGGTGCATCTTTTAAAAACAAAGAGTTGCTGTAAAGTGCAGATACTGACCTTTATAAAGATGGTTCAGAGCATCTAGACTTGTTAGCAGCCTTAAGTGTCACCATGAGGACACACCTTGTCTGATCCTACCATCTTCTTCTTGCCCACAGATGGAGAGCTCTCCATTTCAAATGAAGATGACTCCCTGGAGAATGGACAGTCCCTGAGTTCCAGCCAACTGTCTTTGCCTGCCCTGTCTGAAATGGAGCCTGTACCAATGCCCAGGGACCCTTGCTCGTTTGAGGTGCTCCAAGCTTCAGATATCATGGATGGACCAGGTAATGACATGGCAGAGGCATGGGGAAAACTCCAGGATGCTACAGTCTCCTGGTAGGACTTGGGATGCCCATTTTAACCTTGATGTATAGGAGAAACTAATGTCATACATAGTTGTCTGTACATAGCTGAGCCTAAGAAAATGTGGATGCTATTTTCACATAATGTTTTATAGTTTGTAAAAGCACTTTTGTGACTTAAGACACTTTAAGGGTATTATAACTTGTCTTATGATATTGATGGTGCGAAATATTGCTTGTTTTCTAACATTCATCTTTATTAAGATAAATCAAAAGAATCCTTTCCCTCTCTCGACCTGTCTAATCCTTTTGTCCCAAAGGCCAGGCTACTCTATCTAATTTCTAGTCCTAATAGATTCATCAGTGATTATATATCAGTTTAGTAAATTTACTGGATATAGCCAATCGACATATTTGTTAAACTGTATGCAGTTTCCCAGGTAAGCTGGAGCCTGCCTGTAGATGAGTTTGCATGCCTTCTAGTTATTGCCTCCCTCTTTGGTCCATCCCAGTGGCCAATCTGCCTCTCTCAGGAGGTGCAGAGCCCTCCTAACCAACCCAAAGACTAGTCCCTACCAACAGAGAGGAACAGCACATGTCCGATGGGCTGGGTAAGGAGCCCCGGACACTACCTGGAGTGTGGGTGGAAAGACTACCGTCCTGTGCAGCACTTCACTCGTGTGAGAGGAGGGAGAGAGGTGGCTCTCTCCAAGGTGGTTCTCATGCTTCACTGTGGGACCTGGTCAGCTACTGTTGAGCACTGATTAGAACAATGTCCCTTGAGATGGGGAAAACCCGGTGTGTCAAGGGTTCTTTGCAGAGTTGTGCTGCTGTGCAGACATTACTTTCTCCAGGGGAGAAGGAAGGCAGGAAAGTAGAAGAATCTTTATAAACTGCCTCCTTTGGCAGTTGCGGAGGGCAGGGGCACATACAGTTGAATTATATTGTGCCTTTAGAATTTTTCAAACAAGAACGCTGAATTTTTGATTTGCAACTCAACTTCCCTTGTACCACTTGAATCTGCAGTTAGACTCTTCTAGGGAAATCTACCATCCCAGCAGAAGTCCCAGGATTTTATGGTTATTACCAGGTTGCCAGCACAGCAGGGAGCAGTAGGCTACCACCTCATGGCAACTGAACCAGGAAACCTATCAGGAGGCTTCTGTGGGGAAAAAGAAGAGTCAGGCCAAAGTGAAGAAATGGGGGAGAGTTGAAAGACAGAGGGAGCTACAATGTGACTTGGTTGTTATGGTGCTTGCCTTGCATGCACCATGCTCTGGAGTCAATCCCTAGTTCCATATGCCGAGGTAGTTCCAAGGCAGGGTGGGACATGCCTTGCAATCCCAGCACTCAGGAGGTAAAAGTGGGAAAACAGGAAGTTCAAGGTCAGCCAGTCTAGAATGTATGAGACCCTGGAAAGAAGGGGAGGGTGGAAAGAAAAAAGAAGGGAAAATTTAAGAAGACAACCAGAAGTCTGGCAAGCAGGAAGTGAAGGAACTGGACAAATAAAAAGGTGTAACCTTTGCATATCCTCTGCCTTGTGAGAATTTATAGGGCCAGGCAGGGCAAGAGTGTGTCCTCAGACCTAGAATCCTCATTGAGAGCCTGGCTCTCAGTTCTGATCATTCCAGAGCTTGGAGGAGCAGCCACCAAAGCCTGTGTGCATAGCCTGCTAGTGCTAACCTTGTCCGCTGCCACCTGGTATCGCAGGCCAGAGAGCAAGACCCAGTGGACAACACTAACACTCTCCATTAGTTTGTGGCCATCTCTCTTCCCTCAGCAAAGGAAGAACTCAGGGGCCCAAGGAAAGATGCTGTCTCTTCATGTTCAGTTTAGGGAACTCAAAGTCCTCATGCTACTCATGGTCCTGTTAGTTGTGCCTGTGGTCTCTTGAGTCACACAGCAGAGCATCTGTAGACTCTGGATGATGCAGGCTCAGTTTGAAGTGGTGACCTTTTTCATGAGGAAATGCCCTTGCCCCTGCCCCTTTACCCTCTTGCTCTCTCTTTATCTCTCTTCTCTCTTCCTTTGCCTCCTCTTTCTGCCCCTCCCCCCACATCCCACCTGCTTTCTTGGATTTCTCTTGTCCTTGCTTTAGCTCTCTGTGTGCCCACTATGGCCTGCAGCGGGTGGCACTCTGCTGTCTTGTTGGGTGGCCAGTGTCCCTGTCCTGTGTCCCTGGCTGGCCTTCACTGCGTTTGTGTAATGTCTCTTGTGTATCATGTGGTTGTCCCCTCAGTGTCTCAAGAGAGTCCCTCTGCCAGTGAGTCTGGAGTCCTCCTGTCCCAAGATCCTTCAGCCAAACCAGTTCTGTTCCTGCCCCCCAAAAAACCTGCTGCTTTCTCTGGAGACCATGAGGAGACCCCAGTGAAGCAGTTATCCCTTCTCAAGCAGCCCCCGGCCCTGCCTCCCAAACCCACTGCCCGGATTGCCAACCATTTAACAGGTAAGTCCAGCATCTTCTGAGGTGCACAGCCCCTCCCTCCCTTCACGGGATAGCTTCTCTCTCTGGTGCTTTTGATCTGAAGCCTGAATAGACATCTCTGGGAAAATGACCCCATGGGGTGTTTGGGTGTTTGTATGTGTGTGTTGGTACATAAGAACATGACCAGAGTTTATGTCTCTGTGTCAAGAAGCATTTGATATGCAATTGCCAGCCAGATGCCAAGAGCCTTCAGTGTTATCTGTCATATGTGTATCTGTAAATATGTACATTGTATTTATGTGACCGATTCAAGATTATTGCCCATCTGGGCCAATTAGAATCAACGTCAAAATGTTTACACAGGTGAAGAAAAGTGCTTTGCTTCCTTCATAATGAGTCTGCTAAGGCTTTAAATGTTTGTAAGTTATTGATCTAAAGTCTAGAATATTTCTGCAATTAAAACTAATTTTGTTCACTTACTGTGAGTTCTCTTTAAAAAAGAAATAAGCTAGGCATAGTGGTGTGTCCCCGTAATCCCATCACTTGGAAGGTGGAGGCAGCAGGATCAGGAGCTCAAAATCATCTTTGGTTACTCAGCAAGTTCGAGGTCAGCCTGAGCTATATGAGACCCTGTCTCAAAAAGCAATAGCAATAAAATAACCAACAAGATGTGTGGGAAATACCTTTAGAAGGAGTACAGGCTTAGCAGAGGTGCTAAGGTACCTTCATTCTGTGTGGTTAGTGAATGTGCGCACAGGTATGGAGTGGATGTGTAATGAAATTACATTTCATCATGCATGATATAATCAGAAACCTATCAACTGCTTTTATACAACATATTTAGTGTTCTTACAAGTAGTATCTAAGTGACCTCTATAACATTTTACAGCATTAATGGAGTAGGAAAACATACTCTCTTACAGTAGACAGACTGAGAATCAAGGCAAGGAAGTGACTTTTTCAGGACTGGCCAGACTCTGCAGTGGAGGCATGACTGGAACCTGAGCATCCTGCCTGCTAGGACATCAGTGACTGTCCCCACAGTAGCAGGACATCTCTCTCTACAGTCCATCTTCAACACAGACTGATGTCGAACTGAGTTATGCCAATGCCCCCATCCATCTCAGCTGGGTGTTTGTGGTGTAAAAGGGCGGATGACTCTCTAAGAACCGTTAAACACATCAGTAACACATCAGTTTAGTATCCTAACATTTTAATTCGCATAAAATCAAATGGGAAGGGTCTCTCTCTAAGATATATACCCACTGTCTAGAAAAAAAAATCAAACATCACTCTACATATGGTCTTCCCACCTGCTTTTTGAGCATAACAATGTGTGAGCTGAATCTCGTGTTAGTAACTATTGTACAGTGTGGTTTTATCAACCGCTTGGTGCAGATCAAGGAATTCTTCTACATTGTGTACTGTAAAACATACAGTGGCGAGCATCTGTAGTAGCCTGCATGTGTCCTTTGGAGGTTTTTTCAGGATATTTCTAGGATTAGAACTACGAAGTCAAAGATATATTCCCTTTACACCTTGGACAACAAACACCCCTTAAAAAAAATTCAAACACTGTGCAAAATAACCCCTACATATCCATATTGTACGTATTTGCTCAACATGCCTGCCATAGGCAGAACCCTGGGTTACTGCCAAAATGGAGGCAACTCTGTGCTAATTTAATGCATATATATTCCATCATCCTTATATATATCTGTGGGTTCTATGTCTGTGGTTCAGCCTACCACAGATCAAAACTATTTATTAAAAATCTGCACTGACTATGTCCAGACTGCTTTTTTGTCATTTCCTTAAATAGCATGATGTTACGGTTATTTGCCCAGTATCTGCATTAAATTAGGCAGTATATGTCATTGAGAGCTAATTTAAAGTGTAGGGGAGGTTTGTGTAGGTTCTATGCAAATACTGTGCTATTTATAGAAGGAACTTGAGCATGCATGGATTTGGATGTCCACGGGAGTCTTAAGCCAGGCTTCTACAGAAACCAAGGGGTGACTATATTAGAGTGCTCGAGCAAATGCCATTCAGAGAAGAGCTATGGTTCAGTGCAGCCTCACAAAGGGTCCCTGAAGAAGACTGAAGCCCTGTTGATGTTCATGTAACAGACATTTGTAGAGAATTGGGAAAGGGATTCCCTGCAAGAAGACTCTGGGAAAGCCTCCAAGGAAGAGATATTTTGGGTCACTCCACTGGCTCAGCTGGGATAAAGATGCCATTAAGGGTTTAATTAAAACCACCTAGAGTTCATTGGGTAGTGGCCTGGAAAGATTTGTATTCTATTCCCTAGAAGTAGCAAGGTTTGGAGGGTTTTGGATGCTATGATGCAATGAGCCTTTAAATCATCTTCCTGGAGGACAGGCATGGTGGTTGACACATGCCTTTAATCCCAGCACTTAGGAGGCAAAGGCCTGAAGATCTCTCTGAACTTAGGCTGGCTTGGTGTACTAACATAGAGAGGCCCCGTCTTAAAAAAGCAAACAAAGAAACAAAACCCTTCCTGGGTCACAGTGTAGAATGAACATGAATAGGAAAATGTTGAAGGTGTATGTCAGAAGCCAACAAAGCTAACTGGGGCTATGCACCTCAAAATTACTAGTAGCATTGAAAGGAATTATCTGAGCCAGGAAAACTTCTCTCACAAGCTGGCGAGAATCCACTAGCAAAGGTAAAATGATAGGCAAGAATAGCTACAGAAATTTTAATACACAATATCCTCTAATGTATTTAGTTATCTAGTAGGTGAAATAACATGGCAACCTCATTGTGAGCTCAGGAGCTTGAGTGGCCAGCGATGCATAGGAGCCTGTACATGAGGGACTGAGGATATCTCTAAGTGTATCTATATGATCTGTGAGCATTAGCACCACATAACTTGGAGCAAATGCATAAAAATACATTGTAGCCTTTTCTTGTGTGTGGTTGTCTCCTAAATGTGATAAAGATAAGATCGGGAGAGGTGTTGTGTCTAGGGACTGTCAAGCTAGTGCTACCCTTTTGGGTCTAAACTCCATTAGACTTGCTTAATTTTCATAAATGAGCAATCAGTCATAATGAATCTGCATCACCATGAAGAGCTCTGTTAACCCCGTTCTGTTACTAATTGCTCTAGAGACATCTGGGCCATGTCAAAAGGAATTAATCAACTAAGAATTCCAGAACTCTAAATTAAGACTCCTGAGTGGCTAGAGTGTTCTCACTTTTGTTCTGGTCCCTGTGTTTGAAAGAAAATGCTGGACCATTGAGAGGTGCCAAGCATGATTTAAAAAGTGGGCAGTGGTCTAACAAGAGGTGGAGGAAGTGTGAGCCTGGACAGACTTCACAACCAGAAAGTAGTGCTCAGAACTCTCTCCTGTAGAATTCACTTCCACTTTATCAGGAAAACCACCGAGGACTTGGGGAACGTATGTCATACAATTCTTCAGTCCAGTGGAGAGAAGCCCTCATTCTTTCTGCATTCTTGTTGTCCTCTCCCACTCCTCATCTCCATACCAGCGTGCCTAGCAGCACATGAGACAGGGTCGGGAGCTGTTGGGCATTAGAGTCTTGCCTGCTTCCCGTGGAGCTGCCTGTGTTGAGGATGTGATCCAAGGTGAATGAGTCTCAAAATGGGTTCTAA